TTTAGTTATATATTATATTACTAATACAATTTACAATAGAAATATGGTTATATACAATTTTTACAAATATATTTATAATCAGATCTTTGGCACGAGCAACGCTGAGCGGGACATTTAGTATTATAAATTATAATATATTATAATAATAAATATTAAATAGTAGGTATGTACTAAAATTCCTTTAATCATTAAGGCTCTGTCAAACTGAACGCGTTATATAACGCGCGTTAAAGCTGTAAATGGCTCGTCGAGGTGGTGCTTTCAGGCGCGTGAATAACGCCGCGTTGTACCAAATTACAAAATCACTTGAAAATACTTTCTGTTTGACAGAGTCTTTATTGATATTTTATTTTGAAATATATATGATTTATTCCTAGTGGTCCATTTAAAGTAAGACACTCGTTGTTTCAAAAACTATTAAAGATTTTGAAATCATTATTCTAACATTATTTTAAGTGGTCAATAGGTAGGTAGGTACAATATTTTGTCTAGAAAAATCACATTTTTACTATTTTTTATCGTCATTATTTTCTTAAATATTTTAATTTTATAAGTTCATTTTCCGAAGCAGCATATTTTTTGGAGTATTTCAATATATTATAAAATTCGAATTTCAGACGAGTATTTATTACTATAATTTACAAGCAAGTTGCAAGTACCTACTAATGTTTTGATGAGCTGAGTGGAGTGGTCAGTGGCGTTTTCTCTGGGTGTGCAAGTTGTGTGTTAACGCCCTAAACATTGATGTCATACATGTGTGTAATATTGTAATTTGTAGTTCATATTAGTATATTACATGGTTATATAATTTTATTTACAAAATCTTAAAATAATTGTCATGTAAAAATAATAATATCAAATAATAAACTATTGTCTATTTTAAGCTCTAAACTCGACCATGCGCCCGCGCCGTCTGCACTCTGCAGCTACGACGCCGATTACGGAATAATATTGTATTATGTTGTGTTTGTGTAGGGTGTAGCCGTGTAGGACGTTAATAATTCGAACAACGACTTGTGGTATCTAATATCTCGTATTCGTAATTTGTCATGATATTTTCGGATAACTTCGGTGCCATGTTAATACTAGACCAAGTCGTTGAAAATGAAATTAACGACTAGTCACTAGTCACTACTCACTAGTCTAGCGCTAGCCTATACAGTATACACTGTGTTTGGACCGTTAGTGGGGATCGTAGCGGCTGCAGTGCTGCACGTTATCCTGTTTACGTCGTAGCCCATAGGTACTATACTGCAAGACTGCAACGCCGATCGTCGAAAACATAATATATAATAAATAATTTTAATAATATGTTGATTATTAATAGTTGATACGAATTTATTTCCCATAAGGGGGGTTTTCCTAATTGTTTTCCTCACACATTAACGCCTAACGACGAAAGTCAGGAAACGCCACTGGGAGTGGTCCAAATGTTGGTCCTGCACTACAGGGTGTCCCGTGAGGATTTACTCATTGCGATATCTCCTGAAATAATGGAGATATCGTAATTATGTTTTTTTATTAAGACTCGCAGAGGTAAGCACTACAAATATTTTATTTTTTAATTAAATTAAATTTTTTAGTAAAAAAGTTAAAAAATTATTTTTTTATTTTTTTATTTTTGAAAAAATTGAAGATAGCCATTCTATAGAGAATATTTTTGTGAACATTTTGAGCTTTTAACATTTTATTTTCATTAATCTCATGATTTTTAATAATTTTTTTAGTTTATTAGTAAAACGTCAATAAACTGGTTTTTGTCCGGGCGGCGAGTCCCCCTCTACGGCTAATGAGTAAATCCTCACGGGACACCCTGTATAATCAAAAACTTTAAAATTTAAATACTTATAATCATTAAGTTATATGTTATAAATTATAACTAATAAACTACTTGTCCGAAATTTAATTTTTATAGATCTATAAATACTCTAAATATTATGCTTAGGAAAATATAATGATAAATTTATTTTTTTGATAAAAAGAGTAAAAAACTTTAATAAAAAATGATAGATAACGATAACAAACAGTAAAAAAAGGTGGGCAAGTGGGTGTCACTCTGCTGTAGAGAAGGTTACAAGTGGGTCACTGTAATGGGGCCATGGTGTTAAATTTGAGCAAAAACGGTCAGTCATGACTGCAGCCTATGATATTACTAAGTATATTTGATGATATTATTGTGAATAAAGTAATTTATATATAACCTACTTACGTGGAACCATGTTTTAAATTTTCAATCTCTAGCAATAAAAGTTTAACTTTTTATAAATTATTAACTACAAAATAATTATTAAATTTTAAATTTGATAAATTTTGTCAAAATTCGAACTTTATAAATGATTATAAAAAAAAAATTATACCCATGCATTTTTAATATTTTTCAACTTCTATTGTAACAATATATCAGGAGCCCTGCATTAAATTTTCACGCTTTTTTACCCTGCAAATAAAATTTTATAAGAAAAACTAAAAAAACTAAAAACTGAAAATGTCCGTAAACAGCTCAAAAAGAGTCAAAATATTTTCAAAATTGTATGGTGTATAAGAAATGCTAATATAAACATTCAGTGAAATTTTCAAGTATCTAGAGTCATTTGTTTTTTAATTACAACAAAATAAGAAAATCGTTACATGAGAAATCGAGTGAATATCAAATGTTGTAAAAATATGAATTTAATTCAATTTATTTCATAAAAATTTAATTTGGGTTTCTTGTAGACATTTTTTTTTTGATAAAGGTAGACAAACTTATGAGGAATCTTTTGTTACATTTTCAAACCTTAGATTTTTTATGAATTTTCAACTCAAAATAATTTGCTAATTTTCGCGATTTTTCCATGTTTTGTCAATTTTTAGACTTTAAATGCTTATAATAAAAAATTGTGACTAAGAATTTTTAATATTTTTCATCTGCCTTTGAAACAATATAGTAGGAGCCTTGTATTAAATTTTCAAGCTTTTTTAACCAACTAATAATTTTTTATTGATATTCATAAAAAAAAAAACTAATAAAATTGGAAACTGAAAATGTCCCTAAACAGTTCAAAATAAATCAAAATATTTCGAAAATGTTATCGTGTATAGAAAATGCAAATATAAACAACCAGTGAAAATTTCATTTATCTACGGTAATTTGTTTTAAAGTTACACCAAAAACCAAAATCGATTTTTTGGAAAACCAATTTTGCGTAAAAATTCCGGTTTTTCCTTAATTTTTCTTTTGTTTTTCACGGCGCTTTTGAAAACTACTGGGAAATTTTCACTGGTAAAGTACCAACTAGATTCACTTTCCTATCAGAAAGCTACTGTTGAAGAAAATCCAAGCACTTTTACTGTCCTAAAACGTGATGACAGACACAAAAAAAAAAAAAAAACACACATCATTGTAAAATCAATACATTCATCGTTTCACTCAGAATCTGAAATAATAATATTATAATAATTCCTACCTAATAATGAAAATAGATATATTAAATAAATTTTTTTTATAATTATTGATGTTTGTTTAAAATTATACAATATGTATATAAGGATGATTTAGAATTAGAATATATTATTATGTGACATAATGGAGACGTTAATTACACTTCAGTGTTGTAAATTATTAATTTTTCTGTAAAAACAAACTGTGGTCTGTGATAGGTAGTGTATAGCGGACAGTGGTATATTGAATAGTATAGTAAAAAAAAGTAAAAAGTACAATAAGGCGGCTGCAGATTCTAAATAATATAGTAGACACATGTAGCAAAGGTACCTACATAATATACGATATAATATTCATATTTATAAATATAACAGATATTTAAGAGGAGTACCTACTTATTAGTTATTAATGTCAGCATAGGCAACCGAATATACTTAGTGAGAACAATTTTTTTTAAGATATTACGTCTATTTTAGACTTAAGTACCTATCATAATATTTTTAATTTTAAATTAATATTAATATAATCAATATAATATGTAATTTTATTTTTATATAAAAATAGTTCATAGATGTCGGAGGACATTTTCAGTTTCTAATTTTCTTAGGTTTATTTTTCTATAAATGTCAATAAAATTTTAATTGTTAGCATGGGCATAGTTTGGTATAATTATCTATGGGGGCTATATAGGACTAGACAATTATGAAAAGATTTAAAACTATAGTTTCGGATAAAATGTAAAAAATGAAAGTAAACACCGCGAGGGGGCTACAAAAGTTTCTGTGGGGGCTACAGGCCCCATAGCCCCCATGCATAATATACCCATGTTTGTAAGGTCAAAAACCTTGAAAATATTCATTTAAATATTTATCATTTATCATTTTTAATTCTTTTAATAATTTTGCAAGTTCTCATATGGGGTTATTTTTTCCGTGGTTATTTTTGCACGGGGGTCATTTTTTTTTTTTCATGACTAAATTTTCAGAATTATTTTTTTGAGGTACCATCTGTGAGTGCATCCTCAAATCTTAGATCATATACTATGGATGGCCACAGCTCGTATTATATCAATACAAAAAAACGTTGCCGATATCAGCGACAAGTCGTCAATTAGGTGGTCGCTATGCGCAACGCGACTTCTCGCATATTTATTCACAGATACCTATTGTTCCTTAGTTCCTATGGATAATTATGCGAGGAGTTGCATTGCGTTTGCGCACATCGATCATCTAATTCGGTGACTCGTCGCTATATCGGCAACAAAATCATACGCTGTGGCTCCATCCATTGTAGGTATATGATCTATTGATCTAAGCCTCAAATCGACGTAATTAATTGTTACTGCCTATGGTAACTATATTATAGTGGTGATACACCAAATGGTGGGAAATTTGACGATGGTTTATTATCTCTAAAAAGTTTGCACTGTAATAATCTAATACATATGTTATTGAAATAGTGATAACGGAAATTAATATGAATTTACTTTGAGCAATTTGACCTTCCCTAAATATCCTCATAATTTTTGCACTTGTTTAAGTTGTAGTTTGAGAAAAACGTTTAAACTATAAATTACAAAATGGCATCCACAAAATTCACAACAGTCGTAAGTATAATATATTATTGTTTTTGTCGTTTCATATTTATTGTTTTTGATGTTTCAGGTGAGGTCGTTAAGCTCATCCTCGAGCTCAACCTCAGGAATGGTCAAAGTGAGTTATTTTTTAAATGATTTTTATAAAATAGAAATATAGTTCATTTGTAAATTATTACATTTTATTTTTATTATAAACAGCCCCCAATTAAAGTATTTGGCATTGAAGGGCGTTATGCCACTGCTTTGTTTTCCGCCGGTAGCAAACAGAATAAATTGGAAGCCATCGAAAAAGATTTGATCAAATTTCAGGTAGATTTTAATCAAATTACTAAATTTCATGATATTCTACAAATTGTGAAAACATTAATTTTACAGACTGCATTAAAATCAGATAAAGTCCTTAAGGAATTTGTTGATAACCCAATTAACAAAAGGTCATTAAAGTCTACCACTTTACAATTGGCTGCAAAGAAACTCGCTCTTTCACCTCCGTCATCCAATTTTTTGAGTAAGTTAAATGTATATATTTTGGTGAAATATGTCATTTATAAGAATACAATGATTCAATACAAATCTAGTGTAACAATTTAATACAAATATTACTTATCTTTATTCCTTAAAAATGTTATCAAATGTATTGCTACTTCAATCTATTAAACCTTCGCTACTATATTTTATCTAGTTCTCAATCTAATAGTACTCAAAATCAATTTGTTTTTATGTTAAATTTTTTTAGCCTTCTGATAAATTGAGTTTATTCTTCTGCATCTATTAAGTTTTATTAGGTGTTAAAATAACGTTCATAAACATTAATTAGAAAAATTGTATTGTATTATATAATTGATCAAATAAAATATATAATTGTTACATTTCGCACTGTCATTACAATAAGGCCATAACTAAAAAAAACCGAATGTTGAGGAAACAAAAAATAATGTTAAGGGTAGAAACATATTTATAATTGTGTTGTGATTATAATCAAGTAATTTTTATCCGTATTAATATCTTTACTATTGTGTGCTTTCAACTTGAAAGAACAAAAATTGAAATTGTTCTAATTATGGCTTTATTGCACTACCCCTAAATTTATTTTAATATTATTTTGGCCGTAAACTAAATGTATGAAGCATTAAAAATTATGATTTCATTAATATAATAATATTATTAAATATGTTGATGTTGATCTAAAAAATACTTAAACTGCAAAATAAAATAATAGCGTAATATAATATTTAGTTTATTATATGAACAACTTCAGTCCCTTGAATGTTTGCTTATTTTTAACAATATTAACATTGAGTTATTTAAAAATAATAATATCACTTTGAATTAAAATAAAAAATAAATAAAATCACTTCTGTCTCTAAGTTTCCTTATTTTTCAAAACATAATTTTTCCTCAATTTATTAATATTTTATACTCTGGTTGCGTATTGATCATCATAGAGAGTAGAATTATTATTTTTACTTGTAGTAGTCTATTAAAAAATATTTTAATAATGTATACATTTTGTAACAGTATTATAATGCTAATTCAATAATACATACCTAATATTAATAATTTTGTTAGAAAAATACAAGTTTTACTATGTATAATAAACCGTTAAATACATACTCAGGTTACCTTTATGTTAGTTCTTTTAGGGGTTTCAATAGATATTTTGTATTACACAAACATAAAAGTTTTTAAACTCTACCACGATAAGTCATTATAGTTATTTTAATAATACAAAAATATACACAATTAAAATACAATGAATTAGAGTAATAGAGTAAAAATTACTGTAATAAATTAATGATGTATTTTTTCATATGCATCGTTATAGCTCTGAAAGTTTGATTGTTTTAAGTTGCAAAAGTAACTTAAAGCAGTTGTTCTGCCTCTATGTACTTGTTTCAGTAAGCGAGCTACATTTTGTTTTATGGCCAAATTGTGCTTAGGAATTTAACATATACGATATAATTTAACCATACGTTCTATGCAATAAAGATTTTCATATATGACACCACTACCAAAAAAAGGAGAAAAAAAATTACGAATTTATAGACACCATAAACACAAAAATCATAAATTTTGAGTTGTGGCCTTATTGCAATGACAGTGCAAATTTCAATAACAGTTATAAATCCAACTAATAATTACCTGTTATAATTAAGAGGTTATACATCCTATATTAAAAGGATGTAGTAGATTTTACACTGTAAACTATTATTAATTAATACAAAATGTAAGTTGCATAATATTATTATCTGTAAATACTTGAATATAATATATATTTTATTTATAGGCATGTTGGCTGAAAATGGAAGATTACAAAAACTTAATTCAATCATTAACAGTTTCAAAATTATCATGGCTGCACACCGAGGAGACTTGCCATGTGTTGTAACAACAGCTAAGGTAAAAAATATGTTTTGGTTTTTATTAGGAGAGATATTCGTACCCCAAACAATATAAAATATAAATATAATATATAATATAAATATGAGTATAAAATGCTCAAGTTTAATTACCAAAATATAATGTTCTGTTACTAGAAATAAAATACCATAGGAATTCTTACAGAAATAATTATAAGGTTTTCATATTCATGTAGCATTTCTAGTATAATATGCCAGACATGAATGGATTTATTTGAAGTTAATACATTTATTAGTTTGATTAAATATTTAACTTTTAATTAATTTCTGTGTAATTTTTATAATATATCATAGACTCTACTAGCGTGAAGGTCACATACTAGATAAAAACAAGTTTAACACAGGCTCTAGTTACCTATAAGGTTTTATAAGTTCTATTCTTCAGCTCTGACTGTTTTCCCTTAATTTGTTGCACTATTTTTGTACAGTTTTTGAAATTGTGCACTTTTTTGACATTTTCCTGACTTCACTGTTTTTTAAAATGTATTATAATAAAAATTTTCTTGTTTAAGTCAATTTAAATCTAAATACAAAAAAAAAATATATAATATACTTAGTTGCACTTATACTTTATTATAAAGTCTATGACTCAAAAGCTATTATTTATTATTTGGGTTATCACAATCACCCGTACAGACTACAAAGTTAGGTTAATTTAATGGATGTTGATATTATCGATTAGTAAATAACATAAAAATATATTAATATCTATAAAATTATCTAGTTAGATTTTATTGGTATTAATATAATGTCATATCAGCTTTGTCATAATGTTTCTATTGCATCACAACTCACTTTTTTTTTATTGCAATTTTATCTATAGATTCTGAATATTTTGTTTTAAAAAAATGTCATATAAAAGTTTTTTTCCTATTACAAAATGTACAATGTTAAAATTAAGTATTTACAAATAATAGCTAATTAGTTTTTTTTTTACCAATTTGTTTTAATAATTAATCCTACATTTACTTGTGCGATAAAATAAAAAACAATTTAATCCTTCTAAGGTAATTTAGTAAAATTGTTTATCTAGATTTTGTTAAAATTTAATAAACACGTATCTATTTATGCCTTCATTGTGTAAAAATAATCATATTTCAACTTTATCGGGGATATCTCAAATATAAAATATTGTTTATTTGTAAATTCCAGCTTACTTTAACTTTATCAACTTTGTTATTAAAAAAAACTTTGTATCCAAAAATTGTGTTTAAAAAAAAAATAGTTATCCAAATCTGCAGAAAAATTAGATCTTACCGTTTAAAAAAAATAATGGGTTTTTTTCAGAACTCTCTTTCTCCTCCCAATAACCCTATTTCAACCCAAAATCATTCAGCTGAAATATTTAGTAGTGCCTTTTAGCTTAAAAATAATTATAACAGATGTGTGCAGTAAATACTTAATTCCAGTACACAGTGTGAAAGAAATTACACAATATTGTATATGAGTGATTTCATTAAAAAGTTACTATTGTTACCAAGTTTCCGATGCGGAAATAACCTGTATCCATTTCATAAAGTAGCCACGACATAATATGCGCACATATAATATTGTAATATGCAATAAAGATTTATTATACTTTAGTATGTTTTATACTAATAAATATAATCGGTCACATAATAATATTATACATGTATTTTAATTTTTAGCCTTTGGACACAGCTGAACAGCAGGAACTTAAAAAGACATTGCAAGCGTTTTCGAAAAAAGGAGAAACAATCAAGTTAGAATTAAAGGTTGACTCATCACTTATTGGTGGAATGATAGTCAGCATTGGTGACAAATATGTCGATATGAGTGTTGCTACAAAAATTAAGAAGTACACCGAAATCATCCAGGATGCCGTTTAAATTTAAATTCAATGTTTAGTCATAGTAAAGAATGGAATATTTTAGTGTGTACTAATTATTATAAATCAACCATGCAAATTTATAATGTTTTTTTTTTTTTAATTTTACCATTAAAAATTCTAGAGTATTTACAAAGAATTGCATTATATTATTGTGTTGTACGTTAAGAAGTAGTACTACTCATTATCTTTCCAACTGAGTTTCCAGCCAAAAGTGCATTTTAATTTCAACCATGATTATAACCTATAAATATTTCTTAGCATTAAAAGATTTTTTTAGTTCTATCTGGATGTCGAGTTTTTATTACTTTTTAATGTGCAATTTAGAAATTGTTTCATGTTATCCGTTGAACAATCTGAGGACATTCTTTGTTATCAATTTTTTCCCGATATATATTTGGTTAGCAAATGCATATTATACATAGGTAGGTACTGATTTATTGGTTGATGAATTCTAAAAATCAAGTTGGAAAACTATACTCCCTAATTTTTAGATTCTGAGTGGAACAATGAATGTATTGATTTTACAATGATATGTTTTTTTTTTTTTTTTTTTTGTGTCTGTGTACACGATAAGTAGTTGAAATAATGCTTTGATTTTCAACTTCAGTATCTTGTTTGATTGGAAAGTGAATATCGTTAGTGCATTGGGGAGGTCAAAATTTAAAATTCCCAGTAATTTTCAAAAACGCCAAGAAAAACATAAGAAAAATTAAAACGATAAAGAAAAACGGGAATTTTTACTCAAAATCGATTTTAACAAAATTTAATTTGGTTTTTGGTATAACATTAAACCAAATGACCATGATAGATACATGAAATTTTCATTGGTTGTTTATTTTCATTCGTGCATTTTCTATACACGATAACATTTTCAAAATATTTTGAACTGTTTAGGGACATTTTTTTAAAATTTTTTTTCTAAAAATATCAATGGAATCTTATTTGTTTGTTAAAAAAGCTTGGAAATTTAATAGAAAGCTCCTAGTATATTGTTTCAATTTCAAAAGAAAAATATTAAAAATCCTTAGTCACAGTTTGTTTTTATAAGCATTTCAAGTTCAAAAATTGACAAAATAGCAAATTATTTTGAGTTAAGAATTCATAAAAATTTTGTAATTCAAGATTCCTTATAAGATTATATACTTTTATCAAAAAAAAATGTCTATAAGAAAGTCAAATTAAATTTTATGAGCGTTTGAAATTCAAATTTTTACAACATTGGATATTCATTTGATTCTCATGTAGCGATTTCTTAGTTTGTTGAGATTCAAAAACGAATAACTAAATACATTAAAATTTCACTGAATGTTTATTGTATCAATTCTTATACTTGATAAAATTTTCAAAATATTTTGACTCTTTTTGAGCTGTTACGGACAATTTCATATTTCAAATTTTTTTTTTTTTTCTATGGATATCAATAAAGTTTTATCTGTTGGGTCAAAAAGTGTGAAAATTTAAAACAAGGCTCCTGATATATTGTTACAATATCAGTTGAAAAATATTTAAAATACATTGACACCCTTATTTCATAAGCATTTAAAGGTCGAATTTTAACAAAATCAAATTTAAAATTGAATAATTATTTTTAGTTAAAAATTTATAAAATGTTCAAACTTTATATCCAAGGATAAAAATTTAAAACAAGGATTCCATCCATGTACCTAGTTTATTCTGTTACCAAAAATCTAAAGGAATACATAAGAAACAGTTTTATTTTATAGTCATTTTTAAGTTCAAATTTGGAACGAAATTATATAAAAAAACCTAGAATAGGTAACTATTTTAGGTATTTTGTTGTGATTGTATATCATTCGTAAGTACTCGAAACTTGTGAAGTACACGTACTATTATATATCTATGATAGTATCAGAGTTTATTGTTGATGTACAACGCCACAGAACAATAACGCTTTATAAGTACCTAATGGGTATTGTGATATGATTAATTTGGAATTTATTATAGGTTAGGTGTGTCTTATACCTATAGACCTATAGACCACGATTAAAGATATACATCAAAATATAGATCTTTAATCGTGACCTAGACTGACATACCGTCTCCGCTCAGAATAGTTTTTCTTATACAATGATAGTGTAGGTATCATTGAATTCAAATTTAATACCATCCATTATACACTATACAGTGACCCCCTTATAACCTTCTGTACAGCAGAGCACCTTTTTTGATGATGGTTTGTATTTTTCAATGTTCTTGGGTTTTTTATTTTAGGGGAAGATTAGAAAATCTAAAACAATATAGTTCAAAAAATCAAACCTACTAAACGAGTTTATCATTTCTAAAAACTGAGGAAAAAAAATTTAATGTTTATCGAGTAGACAACAATTTTAAGTCACTTTATTTTATTTGTTAAGACTTGTTTTTTTTTAATTTTTTTTTAAACGTATAATTAACAATATTGAGTAGTAGTTATAATTTATTTTTTTATTGGTAATACGGTAGGTTGAACTGATTTTTGCTAAAAACTAATCGCATAATATATTTTATTCAAATTATATTAATGGTTCTTATTAACTCATTGTCAATATCATCGTAGCGGGGTAGAACAGTGGGAATAGATTCATGATGACACGGACTTAACTATAAAGATACATTTTTGGGGTATTTTTGCTATAGATTTTAAGCTTTTCGAAAAAAAATTATTGTATAACTTATGATAGGCAACATGATTTTATGCTCATCACCTAAAAATTACAATATACAGACCAAGTTCATAGGTGCAACTATAGAGATATTTTTCTATAATTTAACTTTATCAATAAAATATATCATTAAGTATTAAACATATGATAAATATAAAGGATAGGTTAATTTCTAAATATGTTTTGTACGATAAACTTATCATAAAAATGTGATTTTCAACTTAAAAATAAAATTTTTTTTTTAAAACATGCTTTTCTTAATACTACTTAATACATGAACGAAAAAGTTGAAAATAAACTTACTTTTAAAACAATTTCTTAATGAAACTTCAAGGCTATCAAGATATTACTAAAGGTGTTTCTAAAATGTATTTGTTGCAAAATTTTTAAAACTTGTGAATTACAAAAAAACGAAATGCATGGGGCTCCTATGGGCTATGAGTCAAGAATATCTTTTACAAAATTTTAAGTATGATCAATAATCTTTAAAATATTTATCATAAAGTTTATCTAATGATTCAGTTGTAGAGTGACTTTACATAGGAGTTTTCACAAGTGTCCCTGCTTTTCGTTTTTTTTGTGATTCACAAGTTTTAAAAATTTTGCAACAAATACATTTTAGAAACACTTTTAGTAATATCTTGTTAACCTTGAAGTTTCATTAAGTAATTGTTTTAAAAGTAAGTATATTTTCAACTTTTTCGTTCATTCGTGTATTAAGGAGTATTAAGAAAAGCATGTTTTTTAAAAAAAAATTTTTTTTAGAGTATACTAGCAAATAAGGCCAACTCTGGAAGATTTCTATCAAGACAATTAATCCATACAGCATAAACGTTCAAGTTTGCATCACATGAATGATTTATAAACTATGTGAAATTTCAAATGTGTTCAGCTACAACCACGAATTAAGATATACTGGATACGGAACGGAGCAGGTTATCCGTCTATAAAATGAAACTGAAAAGTGCTAAGACAATCAGCTGCTGTGTCAAGAATACTAGTGCTCTCTAGTTGTATTATATTCCCGCACTTTTTTTTAAAATATATTATATGTATTATTGTATTTGATTTGTGTCACAAAAAATGTGGGCAAGAGTCAAATTATTTTGAAATTATATGATGTATTTTAAAATATTAATACAAACATCTAAATAAAATTTAAAATATTTGTGGCTATAAGTTTTTTAGTTGCATAAAAAAAACTAAATCTATTTGGTCGAAAACTGCTTCTGCGGTTCTGCCTAAAAAACCGAGTCAATTACCACTCAAAAGTACCAACTAGATTATCTTTCCCACCAGAAAATATTATGAAGTTGAAAATAGAAGCATTATTTCTATTAGCAAAAATGTTTACTGCAGATAGAAAAAAAACACTCATCATTGTAAAATAAATGTTTTTAAAATAGCAATATATTATTTATATATTATAAGTTGTTTGAAATAAAATAATATATTTTTTCCATAACAATAAGAGGAAGTTAGTTCTTATAACACGTGATTATAAATTTTTGATGATAATTTGCATTTTCTCATTATTTTATTAAATATTTTTAAACATATTTTATATATATTTATATGTCTACCATGGTAAGGGAGAACAAATGTTGTATACAAAACTGTCCAGGGTTACATATATCTAGGTTTAGCATCCCACAACGTTCCTTCAATGAATGGCAAGAAGCAATTGGAACATCTTTAACCAAAAGATCAAGAATTTGTGGAGCTCATTTTTCTAAAAATGATATTCACAATACCTGGACTTCCGGTGAAGGGTCAAATCAGTATTCGGTAAGTTGTAAGTTTAATTTTTGATTATAATCATTGTTATTATATACCTAACATAATATACTTAGTATAATGCTAAATACTAAGTTTTTTTTGTTCTAAAATATTTACAGATATGTTTAAAAAAGCCAAGATTAAAATATGGAGCAGTTCCTAAATTACTTTTAAATGGCAATGCTGGAAATGTTGATACACCCAACACACTCAATACCTCAAGTAGTTTTAATGTTGAACCTAGTATTTACTCTACTTCAGAAGTTGTTGAAATCAATCAGGTTCAAAAATTATTTTATTATTTTTTTATCACCCAGACAGTCATTTTTATGTACTACTTAGGAGCATTGAGAGTTCATTCATGAAACATGCAAATAGTGCCTATGTGTTTGATGATACTGTAGAGGACTTCATATCAAACAATTATATAGTACCATTTCCTTGTAATGTACATAAAGAAAAAGTCATATTGGATATACTAATATCATATATCATAATGAGAATGCGTCAACATTCCTATATGACTAATAAAAAACTAAAAAGTCAAAACATAATAAAAAAGAAACTGTCAAAGTTAGTTTCCAAATAGTATTAAGAACAATTTATTTGGAAATAATTGTATACAATTAAAAGTTATGATTAATAAATAAAATACATTTGACAAATTTAAGAAATTTAAATATATAAGTAGGGACTTGGCACAGTGGCACATCGACATCGGTAACATAAATGATTTTCTATGATAAACGGTAGTATTGATAATAAGAACATACATTATACACTAGGGCTAAAGTAGCGCTAGGTGGTTTGACACATCAATTAGTGTATTCAGTTTATCATAATATTCCGTTCCGTATCCAGTATATCTTAATTTGTGGCTATAACCAATATAAAAATAGGTTCTCTGTCAACATTGTCAACCAGTGGTTGACTTTGGCCACGGGCGCCCGTTCACTTGTGTCAACTACGGGTTGGCATTGGCATTCAACGTGTTAAAAATGAGGGTTTGAAGTTCTCTTTAAGACTAAATATATTATATAGTCAAATTATACAAAATTTTTATCGATTACATCATATGTTCTTTATAAATTGTTAAATATAATTAGTACAAAAATACAATTAAATTCTAGTCTATTACACAACTTTATCAATAAAATATATCATTAAGAATTAAACTTATAATAAATATAAAGGATAGGTTAATCGAAATATGTTGTATGATAAACTTATCATAAAAATGTAATTTTCAGCTTAAAAATAATAGCCTTGGCAGTTTTTCATATCACATTGACATTTAGTGCCATTTTTCTTCGAAGTACCTTGACTACACCGAGAAAAATAATCAGTAGTAAGCTGTTCACCAGCCAAAATATCTCTACTAGCAAATAAGGCCAACTCTGGAAGATTTCTATCAAGACAATTAATCCATACAGCATAAACGTTCAAGTTTGCATCACATGAATGATTTATAAAATATGTGAAATTTGCATAATGTGTGCCATCAATGATGTATTTATAGTTTTGTGAATCATCAAAGTCCAAGCTCCACATATTGTCCAATAAAGACGACCCTTTTTTTAAACGTCGTTCAGATTCTTTAACTGTGATAATTTCACCAATATATTTACCAATAAATTGTCCTTTCTGAATGTCTTGGGTAGATTTAATACCCCAGCCACATTTTCTTGTCTTATAAATACAAATATTTACATTGCTACCATGTTGGACCACCCTATTAGGGCAAGATTTTGTACATATACATTTTTTATTACATTCAAATACTGGATTACCAGGAGGTACCACTATTTTCTTATTATTATCATAGGCTTTTAAACAACCCGACATTTCATAGCAACATTCTTCAGAAGATTTACAATTTCTTCTACAAGAACATCCAATAGGTGGATCATTTGGTATAATAATGTTCGTTTGAGGTCGATAATCTTTAATGTATGAAAAAAATCTGGTGCGTCCTTCAAGGTCAATGTTATTTACTACTTTAATTTGAAAACCTTCAGTCATTGTATTAATTTCAATTTCCCAATATTGGATTTTGACCAACTGTTGCCCGTCTAAGTGATTTAAAGAAACCGAAAATAACTAATTTTGTAGGGTATAGTTTTAATGATGTCTTGGATAGGACCATCATTGTGACTATGAACAAACCAGTTATAACCTTCAGGTAAAATTCCTGGCAGACATAAGCCAGTCTCAGTTCTGAATGATTCAAATATCACGGAAATAATTTTTCTAGACATCATAAGTTCTATTCCATTTACATATTTAGATCTATTTGCATGTTCATCAGTCTTTTTATTATCAATATATTTCTTTAAGTGTTGATGTGAATGACATAGAGCACCGAGACGTTCCCATGTATTAAATCCTCTAGACCATTTTTTCCACTTTACTAAGTAGTAATGTGTACCTAAAATTATTTCATCATTAATAATTTCTTCTATTTCTGCTGGGTCAAAAGGATGCAGAAAATCATCAGGTACCATCATTTTTGCATTTCTTATAAAATCCTGTACTCTTCTATCAGAAACTATGTATTTATATGCTGGATCACAATTTTCTAAAATAGACGGAAATGTTATAGATGCAGTATCTTCAGATTTTGTTAGTTTAATATCATAGTTAGAATTAGAAGATAATAACCTATTAGATTTTCTTTTTACTCTATCTTTAGTTTTGGGAGTTGACATCACCAAGTTAGGAACCACAGTAGTTTCTGAAGTGGAATCCAAACTATCATTAGACTCTTGTTCGATGTCAACAGGAGAGTTTATATTTATGTTGTCTATATCCATATCAATATCAGTTTCCATTCTGCTACTTGAACTACCATTATTTACTATACGACTTGAAACTTTTTTTCTAATTGAAGTGTTTTCATCTCTTTCTTTTTTTTCTTTTTTTTTACTACCACCAAGAACAATATCTTTACAAACTACTTTATCAGTTTCAGATGGGCTAAGATTTTTTAACATAGTAGTATTTCGATCTACTGGACTCTTTTCAATACTTTTTAAAACATTTTCTGCATTGGATATAGCGGCATCGACATTGTCGAGACTTTGTTCAGAACATCTAATAACTTTAATCCTGGATGGATTTGAATCAGATATTGAAGTTCTTTTCTTATTTGAACCACTTGGTTTAGTTGTGTTTGAAGGCGAAACACTGTGTCTTGTAATTTCTTGGATTTTGTCATTTGTTGAGTCTGTAACACAATTGATTTAAAAATAATTACCATACTGAACCAAACATCAATATCTACAATAATTTTACAGCAAAAAAATTTAAAAAGTAGGGCAAGTGGGTCTGCTATGCTGTACATTAGGTGTCAAACGAGTCACTGAAATGGATGCATTACATTTGGATTCAATTATAAGTCATTGTTTATGAAAATTATTCTGAGCAGACAGTGTGTCAGTCTAGGATATTTTATATTATATTCATATTGCTATTAGTAATAATAGGTAGGTTGAATTAATTTTTACAAAAAACATTGCATTTACCAGGGTTTCCCAACCAGTGTGCCTTAAGTTCATGAGGCCTCCATAGTGTGAAATGTCATGATTATTAATAAACGCTTTGGTAAAATTTCGATAATGCGTTAAAATAAATTGAAGAGAAACAGTCCAAAATTTCTCACTGGGACTGGTATATGCTTAGTACAAATTCTGTGATCAAATCCTCAAAATGTTTAATACATATCTATATATTCTGAAATCTTTTTATTCAAAGGTTATATTTTGATTTTTAAGGGCATATTTTTTAAGATTATTGAAAATCAAGTATTTTGGTAAATATTTTTCTTAAACCAAGATCATAAATTGTTTAATAAAAAACTATCATAAAAACAATAGAGACTACTATTGAAGTTGAATGACGTTTCACTCATTTCGCTTCTATATTAAATGTAAAAATAATTTTGCTAACCATAAATTAGATGTAAACTTGATCTGAATATGGTTTGTTAAAATACGCTTTAATTTAACACATCTAAATGTCTGTCTTATATTATTTAAGTTTTGAATAAAAAGTGTGTTCTGTGCTTCTTTCATAATATATATATATATTTTTTTGCTACTATATTTTTAGTTTTCATTATAGGAATCGGGGAAATTTGTCCCTGTCAAAAAAAACGAGGGCACGTACGAGGTGTGTTCAAAAAGTACCCGGAATTTTTTATTTTAATGGGTCTGGAGAGTCCGATTGTCAAAATTTTTTTTTTATTGTGTTGGTATACATGCCCCTAAAGTATGATAACATTTTCAGCAATAATCACTGTTGACTTTGTCTGTGGTAGTCGCTAAGGTACGACGTGTGTTTATGAGCTCGGCGATTTTTGCTTGTTTAAACAATGGAAGAATTGAAGAGTCAAAGAATTTGCATTAAATTTTGCGTAAAAAATGAAATAAAATGTAACAAAGTATGTGAAATGTTACAAAAAGCCTATGGTGAGTCTGCTATGAAAAAAACAAGTGTTTACGAGTGGTATAAGCGTTTCCAAGATGGCCGCGAAAAAAGCACGTCAAGTTCGATCAAATGTCAAGGTTATGCTTACGGTTTTCTTCGATTTTAATGGCATAGTACATCAAGAGTTCTTACCACAAGGTCGTACGGTTAATAAGGAGTATTACCTTGAAGTTATGCGACGTTTGCGTGAAGCAATCCGAAAAAAACGCCCCGATTTATGGAAAAACAATTCATGGCTTTTGCACCACGATAACGCACCTGCTCATTCGTCGTTGCTTGTTCGTAATTTTTTGGCCAAAAACAATACCGTAGTCATGCCCCAACCTCCATATTCACCAGATATGGCTCCGTGTGATTTTTTCCTGTTCCCAAAGTTGAAAAGACCCATGAAAGGACGGCGTTTTTCCTCGATTGAAGAAATAAAAGCCGAATCGCTGAGAGTGCTCAAGGACATGCCAAAAAGTGAATATCAAGAGTGCTTCGAAGATTGGAAAAAACGCTGGCATAAGTGTATTATATCTGGGGGGGACTATTTTGAAGGGGACCACATTGATGTAGACGAATAAATAAATATTTTTTTGAAAAAACGGAAATTCCGGGTACTTTTTGAACACACCTCGTATTGGTCTTCTAGTAAAATATCATCAGTCAAATTTAAATCAATAATTTTTTTTATTTTTAAAAAAATGATTAGCAATAGAAATACAATACAATAAAATACAAATATTATAAATAGTAAGTACCTATACTTTATATTTTTAGAAATAATAAGTGATTTAACAGATAATTAGAATCAATAGATTTATAGATATGACATTGACATTTTTAATTTAAAAAAAAACGTGACTGTATTGAAATATCAAAACATGATTATGTAAATGTATTACATTTTTATATACTTTACTTATATTATTTAAATTTTAATTATGATAATATAAATTAAAAATTAAAAAAATAGCGATCTAAATATGACAGATTTAAAATACCGGGGACCAAACATCCTATAAATCTCGGGGGCTAAATGTCCTACCTTCTGTTTACTATATTATTTCAAGATTTTTGTGTTATAATGTTTTATGTATTATAGCTTTTTTGAGTGCTGGTAATTTAAGCTCTGCACATAACATAATGAATATATTAATTAGTGTTCGGGATATCAAATTTAAAATTTATGTTCATTGCACAAGCATCTTAACTAGAAATACACTATAGTAAAAGTGTATAATTAGAAAGATTGTACAAAATAAATGATACATAAAAATTATTAAACATGAATGCACGGGGTTATATGGCTGTCAACTGATGATCCGAACACGAAATAACAATTAACAGCTCTCAATTGTGCTATTAAATATTATATAAAAAAAAAACTTGTTTATTATAAAGGAACTACAATAATTAAATGTAAATTTTTTTTTTTTTTTTTACTAAGCAAAAATGATAAATACATTCCGAAGATTGAAATTACATGACATTATTTACATGAGGAGGGAAACTATCCATTGATAGAATCCTAGTATCCTACAGATCTTGATTTTAATTAATTAAGGAGGTCTCAGCACCATCGTCTTTATAGCTGGCGATTTATCATTTATCAGTACATTATTTTATATACATCAGAAAAATAATATTATATTCTAATGTAAAGTGTAAATATTGTAGTAATAACTAATAAGTATTATAAAATTAAACAACTTAAAGAAGAAATAAATTAGGTACTAGTTTAGTTGACGCCCAACAGCCCGCCACTCAGGTTTAGTTGACACTTGACATCCACCACTTATATTTCTCATATTTTCGATGTGCTAATCATCTTTTATACAATTTATACTGCAGATACAAAAGGTGCTCTGCTGTACAGTAGGTTACAAGTGGGCCACTGTGTAATGGATGGTATTAAATTTGAATTCAATGATATAATATCATTGTATAAGAAAAACGATTCTGAGAGAAAACGGTTAGTCAGCCTATGATATTACAAAGTATATTTATAATGATATTAAGGTGAATAAAGTAATTTGTATAAAACCTATTTACGTAGAATCTTGTTTTAAATTTTCAATCATTAACTATAAAAGTTGAACATTTCATAAATTTTTATCTACAAAATTATTATTAAATTAAAAATGTAAAAAATCTTGTCAACATTTGAACTTTAAATGCTTATAAAAAAATATTGCACCCATGTATTTTTAATGTTTTTCGAGTGCTATTGTAACAATATACCAGGAGCTTTGCATTAAATTTTCACGCTTTTCGAACAAATACAATTTTATTGATATTTATAGAAAAAAAAAACTAAAAATATTTAAAACTGAAAATGTCCATAAACAGCTCAAAAAGAGTAAAAATATTTTCAAAATTAAATAGTGTATAGAAAATGCTAATATAAACATTCAGTGAAATTTTCAAGTATCTACAGTCATTCGTTTTTTAATTACAACAAAATTAGAAAATCGTTACATGAGAAATCGAGTGAATATCAAATGTTGTAAAAATATGAATTTTAAACGCTCAAAAAAATTTAATTTGTGTTTCTATTAGACATTTTTTTTTGATAAAGGTAGACAAACTTATGAGGAATCTTGTATTACATTTTCATATCTTAGATTTAAAAAGAAAATTTTTTTATGAATTTCTTACTCGAAATAATTTCCATTTTTTTTTAGGTATTTTGTAAATTTTTGAACTTTAAAAATGCTTATAAAAAAAAAAAAACTGTGACTAAAGATTTTTAATATTTTTCATCTGCCTTTGAAACAATGTACTAGAAGCTTTCTATTAAATTTTCAAGCTTTTTTAACTAACAAATAAAATTTTATTTATATTTTTAGAAAAAAAACTAAAAAAAATGGAATATAAAAATATTCCTAAACAGTTCAAAACAAATCATAATATTTCGAAAATTTAATCGTGTATATAAAATGCAAATATAAACTACCAGTGTAATTTTTATGTATATACGTTCATTTGTTTTTGAGTAACAACAAAAACCAAAATCAATTAAGCGTAAAAATTCCCGTTTTTCCTTAATTTTTCTTTTGTTTTTCATGATGCTTTTGATAATTACTGGAAAAATTTTACTTTTGATCCCCCCCAAGTACCAACTAGATTCACTTTCCTATCAGAAAAGATACTGTTGAAGAAAATCCAAGCACGTTTACTGTCCTAAAAGGTGATGACAGACACAAAAAAATTAAAAAATTAAAAAAAAACACACATCATTGTAAAATCAATACATTCATCGTTCCACTCAGAATCTAAAATAATAATAATAAAAACAAAAATAAATATAATTTTTCATACTTTTGTATTTATTGTCTAATTATTATTATTATTATTATTTTTAAATACTGCAGGTAATACAGTGGTTTTTGGTCACCTGCATAAGTTTATATATTTTTATTTTTACAATGATTTTATAATATTATTCATAAAATTAATTTTTAATACTTTTTTATTAATTATTTTATTATTACTAATTTTATAAATTGTATAGAAGATGATTAACACATAGAAAATACGAGAAATATACGTGGTGGGAGAAACGTGGGCTAGTGGGCGTCAACTAACCCCAGTATCATTAACTGTATATTATACTGCATTTATATTATATGACTACTAGCTAAGTGCTAATAGTGTTTATGTGTAGTTTATAGAAATTAATAGTTAATAGGAACGTATAAAAATCCAAAACTTTTTAAGAGGATGTCAGGGCACTTTTTGTTTTCTTTCTCTAGTTTAAGTAATCACCCATTACAAAATAGATAGAGAATAATATTTTTAATGGAATGACATATCAATTTTATATTTCATTGTTATTCGCCTTTCAAAATAAACAAAAAAATGTTGAACATAAAAATGATGTTTTAATTGTTTTGAGACAATATTTAGGCAAATTCATAAGACTTTCCCTCAAAAATATTATTCTCTACATTTTTTGTAATGGATGATTTTACTTTAAGATTACTTAAAAACATAGAAAAAATAATTCTGCTTAAATGCGTTTTATCCATGTTGCGTGTGGGCCAGAGAGAGAAAACAAATAGTAACACGTCTGAATACCTATTGTCGTATTTAAAAAAACCAAATTAAATAATAAATTTAATTAACTTTATTCGTAATATAAAGTGTCTATTATTGAAAACGAATTGTTGAGAGTTAAAATTAAATATATTTTATTAAATTATATTATGTTGGTACAATTAATACCCACATTAGACATATTTTAATATATTATTTTTCAGTTTTCATACACAAAAAACTGTAATGTGTTATACACTTATACTATAGAAATTACTTATCAAAAGTATTTGTCATTACATTTTCGTTAATTGGAAATAATTCTTATGAAACTGCAAAACGCATGACAAACAAAGTAACGCACTAACGCATTACTTTTGTTACATTATTACTACCCAACACTGAGTATAATATGTATATTTAAACAAAGTTATGTTAGTTATTTACCTAATCCGTAGATAGAACCACAATTAAATATTTCAGGTGAGCTGCTGTGACGTGTGTTGACACCCTATAAGAAAACAATGAATGTTAATATTTTAATTAGGCATGGTAAACAGTAAAATTTACCGAAGTACTTGGTACATGTTCATATACATTATAGTTTCTGGACAGGTCGTCAGACATGATGGTAAACGGTGGATAGATTATTGACAGATCTTAAACAAGGATAATATGGACAGCTGACAGAATGTTTGAAAGAGACGACTGATGACAACATAAGCGCATCAAGCAGTTAAAGCAGCTATTTCTTGAACCAGTTGAACCTCTCCGTAACGAATATTATTGCAGGGATGAAAAACAATAAAAACCACTAGATAAAACGACGATGCTACAAACTTGTTCTGGACGCTGGAGCTCAGAGCCTCAGAGTAATCTGCGTAGCAGCCTGGCCAACTGAAATCTGATAGCTCGAACAACGAACACCCGCAATCCGTGCGAGTAGTCGAAATTCAAATTTCCATTGTGTATCACTTTGACTCGAGCGACACGAATATTATGATTTTACCAATGTCGGTAATCAGCATACCAACGTAGTATCGCACGACGCTGTTGCATGTGCCGACAGCGCCGGTGTCCGTGTGCCCGTGTTGCAGTTTCTTTGTTGTTATGTTTTGGCGTGGAGGTAAAATCAGACGTACAATCCATAGAGCTATGGACGGTGCTCAGAGAGAGAAATCAGCGGGTCGATATGGAGTGAGCGAGAAAAGAGACAAAGAAGTAGACTACTAAACTGTATACGGTTCGTTACGCGGGCTCTTTTACCACCTCAAGTTCTTTCTCTCTCAGTCATACGGTTATACGATCGCCGGATCGCCTATAGTATCGTTTGCATGGCGGAGTGGAAAGTGGAATGCGCTGTCCTTTACCAGGTCTATTGTACCGAGAATCGAGATCCGACGCCATTTTTATCTACGCCGTTGACGAATGACGATCGTCCAAATATGTTGGCTCCGCGGAGTATATAATATCTCAACGAAACATTTTCAGTGTAGCCAATGGTCGTAATTGCGGAACGAAAATCCCCGGGAAAAAAATCCCC